AAAGACAGAATCCCCCTTGTCCTCATATATCACCCCACTAACCTCCATATCCAACGTATCATGCTCCGCCACTTCTGCCACCTACAATCCGACCCCACCCCTATCTGCCTTTCGTAGGGACCGCTCTCTCTGCGACTCCCTCGTCCACGTCACACTCCCCACTAGCCCCACTACCTTTCCGTGCAACCACAGGAAGTGCTACACCTGCCCCTATACCTCCCCCCGACCTCCATTCAAAGCACCAAAAAAACCTTCCACATCAGACAGAGGTTCACCTGCACGTCCGTTAATGTAGTCTATTGCATCCGCTGCTCCCGATGTGGCCGCCTGTATATCAGTGAGACCACGCGGAGGCTCGGAGACCGCTTTGTAGAGCACCTGTGCTCTGTTCGCGACAGACGACAACACCTTTCAGTTGCAAACCATTTCAACTTCCCCTTCCACTCCGTGGGCGACATGTCCATCCTGGGCCGCCTCCAGTGTCACAGTGACGCCATCCGGAAACTGGACGAGCAGCACCTCCTATTCCGTCTTGGGAGCCTCCAACCCAATGGTCTCCATGTGGATTTTACCAGTTTCAAAATCTCCCCACCCCTGGCCTCATCCCATGTCCAACCCTCCCTCTCATCCCCGCGTCCCTGATCTGACACAACCTGTCCATCTTCATCCCCACCTATCTGCTACTCCCACCTCACTGACCAATCCCCACCACTCCCTACAGCACTCACCTCTCACCATCCCACCTACCTTCCGCAGCCCCACCCCTCCTCTCTCTCTCTTTATTTCTGAGCTCCTTCCACACCCCCACCATTTCTGGAGAAGGGTCCCAACCCAAAACACTACTTTCCTGCTCCTCTGATGCTGCCTGGCCTGCTGTGTTCCTCCAACTCCACATTGTGTTATCTCTGACTCCAGCATCGGCTGTTCTTACTATCTCTAATGTTATTCCAGCCATTTGGTTTGTCTCGAGCACCATCCTCTTTTTGATATCTTTGTAATTATTTTGCTGCTTTAAGTAATTGGATCATAGATCATCCCTTCACTTGACATTCAGCTGTTGACACTTTACTCACACCATTTGTACCATCTTTTGACATCCTTAATTACCTGGAATTATCTTGCAGTTATCTCTCTTGCCTATAAATTCTGCGCCTCTGTGATTCCTTCCACTTCACTTTGATGAAGGAGCAGTGCTCCAAAAACTTGTGGTTTCAAATAAACCTGTTGGACTATAACCTGGTGTCTTATGACTTCTAACAATGTATTCTAAGGTATAGAGCCATAGAATGTAACGGTGGAGAAGAGGCAGTTCAGCCCTTCGTGTACGTCCACGCTCTGCAAGAAATATAAGAATGTTAAAATTAAAGCAATGAATAGAAGAATTCAGATCTGTCCCTCAAGTGCTACACCTCAACGTTTAGCATTTAACCGTACATATATAGCCTGATTTTCTTAAAATAACATTGAGGCTAATGCCATTTCCATTAGTTATGTGTAGATAGTACATTAACTCAGATGGGGAACAGGTGCATGCTTAAATGCCAATCTTGAGAAAATACAGACTTAAATTGAGCCATTCTGCTTTTAGCTTCACAGAAGCAGCATTTCACAACCTTTCTGGTGACATGCCACTGGATGTTTAAGAATAATTGTTGTATATGCGCAGTTTCAAATAAATTTACTGCAGGAAGTTAAGTCTTCTCATTAAAAGTATAATTACCCATTTCACAATGTGGTAATTTAGTTACTGTCCACCCCTGCACTGAAAATTATGACTATTGTGAACTCTATTTTCTTCAGTTATTAATTGTAGCAAATGTTAAAAATGCCAATTTTCTTGAAGAAAATCAAGTTGTTTTACTGTCTTTTCTGGCTCTGCTTTTCTCTTTCAATCCAATCTTTCTATCCTCCTCTCTTTCTGCATCTGATTTGGCATTGAATTCGTTCTCCATAATTTGCTTTTCTTGCACTGTCCTCCTTTTAATCTTACAATCTGTTCTTGCCTGTTCACCTATTTTCTCCTTTCTCCTTTCCTCTCTTCCCTGTTATTGGCTCAAGCTTCCGGCAACGTGTCATATGTAAAATGAAAAAATTAAACCTAACTATGCCCAAACATGTTTTAAATGACCAGATTCCATAAGTACCATTAAAACAAAATCTGAGGCAATGTGTTGAATTTAAATAATTATAAACACACCTCATTCTTTAAAAATTTCCTTCCAAAAATCAGAAATCTGATATCCTACACAGAATAACACGCCTTAACTGTCTGTTAGGCGAAGCTCACACTAGTATATCGCAAAAATATGCCATTAATCTCACTTTCATTGAAGAAATTCCATATATCCCAACACAGCATTTCCATATATTAAATGGATGTGAAATTGCTAGCTTGATGTACGTTTATGTTAGATTATGAGCAATTTCATACTATTGTCCAACAATTATTAAGGATTGGTTAAGAATTTTGCAAATCCATTTGCATTAAGCCTTATCGAGAGGTTTCAGTCCTGAGAGTCAGATAAGTGGATTTGGATAGATATTCAAATGGGTTTGGACTTAGGTGCTGTGGATGAAGTTGTTCAATAAAAATCACAAACTTCTGTAAAGGAACTCTACATCAAAACGTCTCTTAATGACAACATCAAGACTGTGAACTGATTTTGTGGAGGACTGTACTTTTGAATCACTGGTACTGGTTTTCCAGCTCTGTAGCTGGGAGTTTGAATTTTGAACAAGATGACATTACTTTTTTAATGGAATTCACTTTTATTGTGTATACCTCATTTTTCAGATGTAAATATGGCAAGCATTTGTACTACTAATTTGTTTAGCCTGCTCGTTACTGATACTGGCTTTGCATTTATACCAAGTCCAGATATATTTGCAACTGTATTTGTCTGCTCAGTTCTCTCACCACATGTTTTATCTCATCGAATTGAACTTGGGAATTCCACATAGTTATCTTTTAAAGATAACTTTGTGTAGGAGTGATTTATATTTTCTGAGATTCCAAGGAAATGCCTGAAATACATAAAAAATCAACTAGTTCAAATTTGCATTGGTGCACACAAATTCAGAAACTTGCCTTGTGGAAAATAATGATAGTGTTAAGGTGTAGAAATAGTTCTAAAGTGCTAATTAGATAAGTTTGTGTGAATTTAACTGGCAGTTTTCATTATCATGAGAAACTTTATCACAAGGTTTGTATGCCATGTAAACTGCTGATGTCATTATAATATATCCATCCCTTTGCTTACCAAGAATCTATTCAGTCTGCCTTAAAAATATTCAATGAATCTGCTTCCATCACCTCCTTGAGAAAGAGAGTTCCAAACACTCATGACCTTCTATGAGAAAAAATTCTCTTCCTCTCTGTCCTAAATAGTCAACCCCTTATTTGTAAAGTGTGACCTCTAATTGCAGCTTCTCCCTTAATAGGAAGCATCCTGTCTACATCTACCCTGTCAAGACCAGTTAGGATCTTGTATATTTCAATCAAGTCTCCTCTTTTCTGAAATCCAACAGATATAATCTGATCCTGTCTAATCTTTTCCCACAAGACAGTCTGCCCATTCAGGGTATTAGTCTAGTAAATCTTCTCTGATCTGTTTTCATGTATTTACAACCTTCCTTAAATAAGGAGACCAATATTGTCGACAGGACTGCAGATGTGGTTTTATATAACCCCATGCTGCATGACATTACTTCCTCACATCACCCAGTAGAGCTATCCTACATTTGTAAATTGTGTCCAATATAATGCTTTTACAATTAACTAATGGGCAGGAAGTTTCTGATCTACCTTATCCAAAACTATCAGAAATATGTAAACCTCTAAAGTTGAAAACTTCTTTTCTTTATTTCTTCATTTACCTGACCTAATATTCTGTTTTGATTTGTTTTTCTATGTTTTTAAGATGGCACTGGAGAATGGTGACACTGTATAACACTTTTCACTGTGTATTTTGTAATAAAATACGCATGACAATAAATAAATAAATCCAAATGAAAGCTCTATCAAATCTCCCCTCAATCTCATTTTCTCCAGCATAATCTTGCAATTAAAATTCTTCATCCTTTGAACTGTGACTTTGTTGTTGATGTATGGATGTAATTGGAAATTTGTATAACTGAAGCAAAACCTCCTTACTTTTGTACTCCATCTCTCTTCTGATAAATAAGAGCATTCCTATTAGCTTTGTTAATTACTTTGTGATTCGTACAAGATCACTCAGATCCTTCTACATCTCAGTGCTCTGCATTCTGGAGGGCACAGTGGCATAATGCCGTAGTACTACTAATCCAGATCCCCAGGCTATTGTTCTGAGGGCATGAATGGCAAATGGTGAAATTTTATTTTCAAAATCTGAAATTCAAACTAGCTCTTCCCCCTCTCCCCTAACTCTCTCAAACATCAATCGCACCATTCTGTTCAAAGTCACATTCTGTGCCAAGCCTCACTGAGATGCCTCACTTTTTTGAAGAAAAAGAGCTGGCTGATACCAGGTGCAAAAGCAAACAATTTTAGCTGTCTTCCTTAACTTCCTAATTTCAAGTGAACTTCCAGTGGAGATCCTGCTTCAGTCTGAGAAATTTCAATTGGATTTTTAAAAGGTAAATGAGAGCAAAACTTAGTTTTATGAAGTTTAAAACTCCCTCAGTTACTAACTGCTAGTATCTAGTACTGCCATCAAAATTTGATTTGTTTGGCTCGTGAAACTACCTGAGGTTGCATGCAGGATATACATTCCAGTTTGCGCAAAGGATATCCAATCAAAGGTGATTGGATGTAATAGCTTTTTGCAATGTTTTCAGACCCTGAAATTGGCTGCAGGATAATTATTTAAAAAATAACAGAAATGTTTGAAAACCTTGTGAAGAACTGAAAATAGTATTCAGAACCAAGCAATACCAATATAGTGTTATTAAGAGATCTAACATTTCCGGAAATGTCGTACTTGTTCATTGAATTCAAAGATTTTTCTGTTCTTTTCCAGAATATGATAGACTGGGATTTCTGCTGAAGTTAGATTCCAAAATGTAAGTAGAAACTTTGTTTAACTAACTGTTAACTAATTGAGTGCATTTGTTTTTAAGACATTCTAACATTGGGCTCAAGGCAGAATATTTTGGCCATTGACACAGGTAGCGAGAGAAGTTGCAGGCAAAGACTCGGATTGTAAAATTTTATGTCCTGTATTTCCTCTGTTATTAACTATTGATGAATGCTATGCTTATAAGAACGGATACCATTCACTTGCTGCATGAAAAAAATTTTCTTCACATTGCAATTCTGTCTTTTGCCAATTACCTTAAATCTGTGGCTACAGGTTCTCAATTCTTCCTTCAATGAGAACAGTTTCACTCTGTCTACTCTGTCTAGATCCCACAAGAATTTGGATACCTCTATCAACTTTCCTCTCAACCTTCTCCAATTAGAACAATCCTAAATTCCCCAATCTTATGTCACTGAAGTTTGTCATTCCTGCAGGCATTCTCGTGAATTCTCTTTGTCAACACATACCACCGCTCCTACCATCTAAAAGGACAAGGGCAGCAGATACATAGGAAAACAACCACTTGCAAGTTGTTCTTTAAGTCAGTCACCATCCCAATTTGCAAATAATTGTCATTCCTTCACTGTTGCTGGTTCAAACTCTTGGCGCTTCCTCCAGAATAGCGTTATAGATGTACCTATGGCAAATGAACTGCAACAATTCAAGAAAGCAGTTCACCGTTACTTTCTCAAGTGCATTAGGAATGTGCACTAAATGCTAGCCCAGCCAGTGAAACCCACATTCCCTGAATGAATAAAGAAAAGAAAAATGTTGATCCACAGTTTTATACAGGTTTAACAAAATTTCTGACCTTTGTAGTGTAAGCCTTTCCTTATAAAGTCCAAGATGCCACTTGCTTTATTAACTGCACTCTCCAATGCTCTTGAGAAATTGGTGATCCACCTTACTGAATTTCTGAAGTTCATGTGGTGGAATGTTTATAGTAATCCCTGTGACCAGTTTTCAGAGCTATTCAATTTAGTTCCCCCATTCCTCTTTTCTAAATATAAGAGCAAAATCTCACTAAATTAATGCAACATTACTAAATTAACTAAAGGAATAAATGATGCAAGGATTACGTTTTAATGTTGAAAACAGAAAGCCAGATCCTCCTAAAATGTAGTAACTCCTTGACACCGTTAAGTTGTGGAAAGGATGTGTAAATCCTGTTGCTTGATATTAGAACAAGTTTTTTTTAAGAGTCAAAAAACAGAGGTGTACAGCACAGAAACAGGTCCTATGGCCCAAATCGTCAATGCAGACCAGTTTTTATAAACTGAACTAGTTCCATTTGCCTGCCTTTGGCTCATATCCCTCAAAATCTTTCCTATCAATGTACCTATCAAGTTTAGCAAGTTTGCAGATGACACTAAGATTGGTGGAGTAGCAGATAGTGAAGGGGACTGTCAGAGAATGCAGCAGAATATAGATAGATTGGAGAGTTGGGCAGAGAAATGGCAGATGCAATCCAGGCAAATGCGAGGTGATGCATTTTGGAAGATTCAATTCAAGAGCGAACTATGTGGTAAATGGAAAAGCCCTGGGGAAAATTGATGCACAGAGAGATCTGGGTGTTCAGGTCCATTGTACCCTGAAGGTGGTAACGCAGGTCGATAGAGTGGTCAAGAAGGCATATGGCATGCTTTTATTCATCGGACGTGGTATTGAGTACAAGAGTTGGCGGGTCATGTTACAGTTGTATAGGACTTTGGTTCGACCACATTTGGAATGCTGCATACAGTTCTGGTCGCCACTTTAACAAAAGGATGTGGATGCTTTGGAGAGGGTGCAGAGGAGGTTCACGAGGATGTTGCCTGGTATGGAGGGCGCTAGCTATGAAGAGAGGTTGAGTAGATTAGGATTATTTACATTAGAAAGACGGAGGTTGAGGGGGGACCTGATTGAGGTCTACAAAATCATGAGAGGTATAGACAGGGTGGATAGCAAGAAGCTTTTTCCCAGAGTGGGGGACTCAATTAATAGGGGTCATGATTTCAAGGTGAGAGGGGAAAAGCTTAAGGGAGATATGCGTGGAAAGTTCTTTATGCAGAGGGTGGTGGGTGCCTGGAACGCGTTGCCAGTGGAGGTGGTAGAGGCGGGCACAATAGTGTCATTTAAGATGTATCTAGACACATACATGAATGGGCAGGGAGCAGAGGGATACAGATCCTTGGGAAAATAGGCGACAGGTTTAGATAGAGGATCTGGATCAGCACAGGCTTGGAGGGCCGAAGGGCTTGTTCCTGTGCTGTAATTTTCTTTGTTCTATCCAAATGTTTTTTAAATGTTGTAATTGTACCTGCCTCTACAACTTATTGTGGCAGCTGCTTCCATATGAGCATCACCCTCTGTGTGAAAATTTGCCCCGGAGGTCCCTTTTAAGTCTTTTCCCCTTTCACCTTACAACTGTGCCCCATAGTTTTGGACTCCACTATCCTGGGAAAAAGACTTTGGCTATTCACCTCCCGAGATTTTATAAACCTCTATAAGGTCACCCCTCAGCCTCCTGTGTTTCAGGGAAAAAAAGGCCCAGCTTATCCAGCTTCCCCTCATAACTCAGACGTCCAGTCTTGGTAACATCCTTATAAATCATTTTTGTACCCTTTCCAGTTTAATAATATCCTTCCTGTAGCAGGACGACCAAACTTGTATGCAGTACTCCAAATGTGACCAATGTCTTGTACTGCTGCAACATGACGTCTGAACTTTTGTACTTTGTGCTCTAACCGATGAAGCCAAACGTGCCAGGTGCCGCCTTCACCACCCTGTCTACCTGTAATGTCACTTTCAAGGAACTATGTACCTGCACCCCATATCTTTCAGTCCGACAGCATAGTCTGGGGCCCTACCGTTAACTGTGTAAGTCCTGCTCTAGTTTGTCTTACTAAAATGCAACATCTTGCATTTGTCTGAATTAAACTCCATTTGCCATTCTTTGGCCCACTTTATTTTAAGAAATAAAATATAAACCTGTAACAATAATGTTATTGAAGTTCTGCAATTTCAGTCTATTATTGGTTGACATTAACATTCTCTTTGCAACAAGCAATTTCCCTGCCTTCATTTCCAAAGACTAAGTCCAAAGTTCTGCAATTTCCTCTAAATTTCCCATCTCTGTCCTTTTCAAGAGACTCTTCAAAGCTTACCTCTTTGACCAAACTTTTTGGTCATCTTTTCCAACTGCTTCTGTAAAGCTCCTTGCAACATTTTTGCCAAAGGCATTGTATGCATTCACGTCATTACTGTGTCTTCATTATTCTCAATGTGATGAGAACAATTTAGGAACTATAGTGTTAAGACTATTTGGTCCAAGCAGAAAAAAGAGAATGTATTTGTTTGACAATACCAGGAGAAGAGGAGGAAGCTATTGTTCAGCGAGGGCTAACTGTGGGTATTGATTGATGCAGACATGTTCTTACCTATGTACACCTGTGGTAAGTTTCACATCTAACACAGCTTAAAATTAATCCCTAAAAAGCACTTCATCGTAAGTTAATTATGATTAATTGACATCCCTTGGAACAACAAACTTTTAATGATACAATTAGGATTTTAAAGCTAATTATTTACTTTCCCGATGGTTCCTTGCAGCAGAGGTTTGAAGTGTTTGCGCTAAAGTAGTTTTGACTGGTGAGGTACGAATGCAACTTAGCTGAACTATGTTTGCAAGCGCATTTAGGAGAACTAACCTATATGCTAAATATTCCTTCAGAAAATCCTGTTGGACATTGAGCTGAGCTTCAAACCTTACATTCTAGCCATCGTCAAGACAACCTATTTCAACCTTCATAATAATGTAATTTCTTACCCTTTGTTAGCCCCATTGCCGCAGTTAGTATTAAGAGATTGAAAAGTTACAATTATCTGCTCAAAGTGAGGAATGTTAATACTGGGAAATGGAGAATGCAGTCGGTTCAGGTACATTTTGGTGTTGACAATTACATCTCCCAGCAACGGCTACTGACCAGAATTGTGAAAGCTTTGCTGATTTTCTTTTGCTTCTTGTTAAGATTAATGTACCCACTGTGCTGCATAAGAACTGTTAACTCAATATAGAATTTAGATATTGAACCTGAATCCTCCCTAGTATCTTTAACCTGTTCCACCTACAGTGTGCATTCACCCAGTGAACCATTCAAAATCTCTTCTGATATTTTGTTTTACTGCACTTATGAGTGCTTATTCAATGCAGGAATAACTTAATTTAATTTAGAGCAAATCCAAGAATAACAAACTCAGAACAAATGTTAGTGTGAAGTGCTGGATTAATACATTTTACTTTATTACCTTTTGCTCTGTTTGTTTTGTCAGTTTTCTTCCTTACTAATCTGGAAATGTTCCCTTCAGAGCACAATAACAGCTATTAAAATGTCAAATTTGTACACCTGACATACTCCAGCTGCATGCTGCAGATTTTGTGGTCTTCTCAACTTCTGCTGTTTGACTGAAAGTAAGTCTTCAGAAATAAAACAGTGCTGAACAGCATCTGAGCAACACCCAAAATTTAGATAGGGGTTTATTGAAATTTCCAAGCTTAGTATGCTGATAGTTGCACACTACAGTGACCATGATGATGAAGTCATCATATTTTTTGATTCTTTGGAGGTCATTCATATAGATTTGATCTGTCTATTTAACAAAAGCATTTGAAAAGAAGGACTTAAGATATATACACATATCTTTGAGCACACTTAAATGCATAGATGTAATTTCTTATAAGCTCGTGTCTTTTTGCCAGAACAGGTACCTGATTCCAGAATTTAGTATAGCCTTTGGGCATGACAATCACCCTAAAACTTTTGCAGCAATCTCTTAAACTTCATGGAGAAACGTGCCTCATTTGAGATTCAAGTTAGTATTCAAAAAGGTTACAGATCATGAAATTCTAAATTTATTTGGAAGGTAAAAGCGCTACTTCGATACACATGCGCATTCTAATTGGTTGGGCATTGATAAATTGGGAATAGTGATTAAATGTTGTGC